ACTCCATGTCTACTCTTTGCAGTTGGATATTGATCTCCTCCCCAAACATTTCTTTCTCTAGTGGAATGTTTATGGCTTCATCATACTTGATATGCTCAACTAATGAAACAAAAGATTGAATGGACTCTTGATATTTTCCACATTCAACATTAATTAAAGTTCCTAAGTTTAAAATTTTCAAAATAAACAAATATAAGTCAACTTTAACTTTAAGAAATTGTAACAAAGTTTCTAAGTTTGAATATTTTACCTCATCACCGACCAATACAAGATTTTTGGGCCAAGCAACAAAAAATCCCACTGCTTCTCCAACAATAAACATCTCATCTGGGATAGGTATAGGAAGAGGGGCATCTTTTTGAATAACAACTTCAACAGACACACGTACATTGGATTCTCCTAATGGCACTATATGAATGGCTTCATTGTGTTTAATTCTCTCATACACCGTACCATGAGCAACAATATTTTCAATGGAACCTATCGCAAGTTCACATGGTTTTCCCTATAACACAAAGTTAAAAATGTAACTTCTAATAATATCACTAACGATATTAGAAATTATAACATCAATAGATAAAAACTACACACATTTCTCTTATTTTGTTTAGGATCTTGAGGTGGAATGTCGTCCTTAGTTCTCACCATATTTTCTGCTAATAAAGAATCATGCTGAAAATTGCCTCTACCACCACTTTTCAATGTGTTTGAACATTTGCTCTATAACAAACACACAGATAACAACAAAAGCACTAATAAAATTACTAACAGTATTAGAAAATATAACAACTTTAGGTGTTCTAAATGCTACACACCTTTATAATCTTTTGGGTAAGAGCTTGGGGTGGAATGTCATCCTTAGTTCTCACTCTGTTTTCTGTTAAGAGAAAATCAGGCTGAAAATTTCCTTCATAACCACTTCTTAAGATGTTTGAACTAACATGTTTAGATTCTGGTGTATATGGTATTTGTTGTTCCACTGCACTAAGCCTAGCTTGCAATTGTACCACCACTGCCTCAAGATCATTAAACTTCTTTTCCTAATGTGACTGATTCCCACATCTAGGCAAGTGAAAGTAGGTGCTAGGTGTGACAGAATTTCCCACACCCCTTACTCGACTAGAAGATTCAGGAGGACCCAATGCCATAGTAAGAATGTCATTGCATCCTTCAATCTTTAAACTCCCATCACTTTTTTGTTTGGTCAACTCATCCTACAATATTACATTACTATATAAGAAAGATGAACAGTTAAGATAAATATAAAGTAAATGCAATCAGTACACACAAATATCTTACAATTCTCGCAGCTTGTTCCATAATTGTCTTGTCATCATATTCTCCATTTTTATTTTGACGAGCCTTTTTCCATAGAATGCTTCTGTCCAAATCTTCAGTAGATCCGGTCATACGTTTCTGTCAATTAAACATACATCAATTTTTCAAAATAATGATATCAAAATTGTTATTAAATAATAAAATTTATAACTACTTACATAGTCTTCTTGAAAGCGAGCATAGCCCTTTCGACTAATTCTATGGTTATACTTATTTTGACTTCGTCTCCATTTCTGAACCTGGCTCAAAATCTTTGAAAATGTAACACACAAAATTAATCCAAATGTATAGCATTTTAATATTTTTTTTAGGTGAATAAGTCATAAAATAAAACATAAAATTTACAAGATTACAAGGGGCATGCCACTGTTATTACAGAACTATGCGTAGTTTGATGGGTCTAGCATTTAATACTGACATTTTAAATAACTAAAGTTGGATAATTTTTACCTCAAACTCTTCTGATAGTCGCCTTACAAGAAATGAGTCCCAATGTCTTTGTTCAATGAATCCATAAATTGTTGGTGGGTTTGATATGATCTCAGGATTGGACTTGTTTTCACGTATGTACTTGGTAAGTTCTTTCTTGAATGTCCTCGATTTTGAACAAATTGAAGATAACATATTTTTCTTACTTCTTTCATCCACTTTGTATGTTAACTGAGTAGTCAAAAAATATAATGTTATAAAATTCTAATTTTGATTGCACTTAAATACATGTTTAAGTGTCTTACTTACCTCCACACAACTCCATAATTTTTCTTTCAGTTCAGTTGGCACCTGAAACCAGTCTTTATAGCATAACGGAATCATTGTATGAGCCAACACCTCATGATAGCTTGAACATTTGATTGAATTGTTTCCAATCAATTGACCATTCTCGTTATAGTCAATGGCTTTTTGTACACCCGAACTCCTATCCTTTATGACATCCGGTAATGTTGTCGAACCTCTGCCTTTTCTTTTATTAGATGTTGGTTCTGCTGCTGGTAACCATGCATCCTCTCCATCAGTAGGTAGGACATGAGAAGTATCGATCCTATGAATAAAATAAAATAAAAATTTAAGAAAAAAATGTCAAATAGTTAGACAATTAAATATAAAGACATGAAGAAAATGAATATAAGTAAAACATTTTAACATGAAAATACAATACTTAGACATACATTCTTACAAAGACATTTTGTTTTTTCATCATGGATTATTGAGCCAAGTTCCCTCACAATCTCCTCGCCTGTAAGATGACATAGAATCATCAACCACATCTAATGATTCAACTTCTGGCAAAACTTTTGTAAAGCCATGATGCTCTATACAAAAATCATTGAACTCATCATCCTTTTCACAAGAATATTGTTTTTGAGCAGGTTCTAGCACAACTGACCATCTCGGATCAAGTTGATCTTGTACATAAAAAACTTGCTTAGCTTGGGAAGCCAAAATGAAGGGATCGTCTTTATGGCCGGTCCTCCCTAACACAACTAATGTGAAACCCAACTCATCCACTCTAATTCCCTTTGTGTTGTCAACCCAGTCACACTTAAATACCGGAATCTTGAACATATTGTAGTCAAGTTTCCATATCACAATAATAACTCCATAGTAAATCATATCAGTAAACACTGGGTTCTTATCCTTGTAACCTGTCACATGCATTGTTGTTGCCACTAAACTAACTCCACTGTTTTGGCTAACTCATGAGTTATCCCAATCTTTTGTGTGATAACGGCAACCATTGATGATATAGCCAGAGAATTTTATAACATCCAATCGAGGTCCTTGTGCTATCCACTTCAGGTTATTTGAGATATTATTTTGGCCGCTTAATTCCTTTGAGACCTGTATATGGTTGAATAGTTAGGTAACTTTTTCTTAATAATATTTGCTATTAGAAAAAGATAAATGTTGAATTACCCCAATACCTTTTCACGAAGCCAATACATAAATGTTTTATTATGCTCAATTTGTAGCCATTTTTGACTTTGTGATTGACGATGATATTTTAGCTTCAACCAAGCCATATGCTCCCGATCAAATCATCAATAAAGCAATATATTATGAGATAAATCTCTAACTTGTGAGAATACAATTATACAAAAATGTACATGAAATATTCTTACTCAATGTATGGTTGAATGTCACTTGTATTTTAACACATAATGATGTGCTTGCTCCCATTCATTACGATCAACAGTAACAACATAACCACTTGATAAAGGCCTTCCAATTTCTATATCATCATCAACTATCATGCTCCTATTAGAAAGAATCCCGATTGCATCCACTCCAGATAAGTACTCTGCACAAAACTCAACAGCTTCTTCTACAATGTAACTTTCAGTAATGCAACCTTCAGGACAATTACGATTACGAACATAACCCTTTAAGATCTTCATGAACCTCTCAAATTGGTACATCCATCTAAAGTGAACTGGTCCACAAAGTTGAACTTCTCTAACAAGATGCACTGTCAAATGCACCATGATATCAAAGAACGAAGGTGGCAAGTACTTTTCAAGCAAACACAATGTGACCACAAGCTCTTTTTGAATCTCATCTAATTTTCCCACATCCACTACTTTGCTACAAATAGCATTAAAAAAGAAACATAACCTGATAATGGCATGTCTCACATGCTTAGGTAACACAGATCGTATTGTCACAGGTAGTAACTGTTGCATCAATACATGGCAATCATGTGATTTTAGACCATAAAGTTTCAAATCTTGCATTGATACACGACTTCCCAAATTTGAAGAGTATCCTTCTGGAACCTTCAATTCCAATAATGTTGTAGATACTCTTCTTTTCTCCTCCTTAGACAATGTGTGACATGCTGGAGGCAAGTATGTTTGCTTCTCCCCAATTTGTGGTGCCAATTCTTCACGCAAACCCATTTCTATAGGATTATGGGGAGAATTAATTCCATCCTTCGTTTTTCCTGGAATATTAAGTAACGTACCAATGAGGCTCTCACACACATTCTTCTCAATATGCATAACATCCAAATTATGTCGAACATGTAAGTACTTCCAATATTCAAGATCAAAGAATAATGATTTCTTCTTCCAACATTTTGTACCACCAACCTGTAATGCTTTTTTATTTTTCTTTCCCCATATGGTTACAAGCCCTTCAACCTTATTTAATATCTCCTCCCCAGTTAATGGTATTGGGGTTAATCCAAACTCTTGCTCACCATTAAAAGCCTTTTTTTCCCTCCGATATGGATGATGGCGTGGAAGAAATTTTCTATGGCCAACATATGTGTTCTTCTTACCATATTTTAATCTATGAGAACATGTTCCTTCATTGCAAATTGGACATGCATAATATCCCTTTACAGTACAACCACTCAAATTACCTAATGCTGGAAAGTCATTAATTGTCCACAACAATATAGCCTTCAGCCTGAAGTGTTCTTTATAAGCATCATAAGCTTCAATACCTACCTCCCACAACATTTTCAAATCATCAATTAGTGGTGCCAAGTAAACATCAATGTCATTACCAAGTTGTTGTGGACCTGATATTAACAATGATAACATCATAAATTTCCTCTTCATACATAACCCTGGTGGAAGATTGTAGGTAATCATTATAACTGGCCAACAACTATACCTGCCGCTAAGGGAACTGTGTGGATTTATTCCATCTGCAGAAATAGCTAATCGAAGCTTTCTTGGCTCTGCAGCGAAATCTGGCCACTTGTGCTCTACTAACTTCCATGATGGAGAATCCGCTGGGTGACACATTGTTCCATCATAATCTCTTTCGTGAGCATGCCATGTCGAATCCTTCGCTATTTTTGCTGATTGGAACATCCTTCGAAACCTTGGGATAGGTGGAAAATACCATAAAACTTTTGCAGGCACATCCTTTCTTATTTCAGTGGAATTCTTCTTCAACTTCCATCTGGATGTACCACATGTAGGACATGAAGTTGCATCTTTATAGCGACCCCGGTCGTTTCCCATTTGATTATTGTATCCGGACCTAAGTTCCGTAGATTCTGTCTTTTTATAATTGTTGTTGTTGTCCCTTATCTTCTCATTTGGAGTTATAGGATGTGTTGGGCAGGTTTGTTTCAGGTTAGTTGGGTTTAGAAACCAAGTGTTGCTGTCCAGAATTTTGGATCTTCGCTCGAGCGAGGAGTTGGTCGCTCGAGCGAGATGTTGTTGTTTGGTTCTTCGCTCAAGCCGGGGTTTGGTAGCTCGAGCGAGAGATGGCGTCCAGTATGGACCTGTAGCTTTGCATTCTTAGCTCGAGCGAGCTTCTCTTTGCTCGAGCGAGTTAGTTCGTTCTTCGCTCAAGCAATATTTCCTTCGCTCGAGCGTGTGTCTGGTTGCAGACCTGAGGGTTTGAGTTCTTCGCTCGATCGAGTTTTCTTTCGCTCGAGCGAGCTTTTGGGTTGTTGGCTCGAGCAAGGTTTCCTTGGCTCGAGCGTAGCTTTTCTGTGTCTGGTCGCTCGAGCGACAAAGGCTTCGCTCGAGCGAGCCTGTCCAGTTTATATACACAGCAGCGGGTTTTGATCAGTCTTTTTCATCTTCTTTTTGATTCCAAACCCTAGGTCCGACTTCTCTCTCTCCCTACTCACCTTCTTTCTTAGGTTTGATCTATTTAGAGGGTGTTTCTACCCTAGTTGCTTTATTAAAAATATAGAGGGAGTCGAGGGCTTTCATTTAATCTGAACATTTGGCGATTTGGAGCACATTGGTATTTGGGCACTCATCTCTGTCTTCACCATTTGGGTTGTTTTCTTCGAGGTAGGGATTTCCTACTCCATCTTATAAGTTTTGTTCTAAGTTTTAGTATTTTGATATGTTGGGGGTACTTTGGTAATTTTGGGAAAAACCCTAGTTGTATTAATAAATTAATTTGTATAATTAATTCATGGAATTGGGAAAAGATGGTGATTAAATGGCGTAGTTGGATAATTTGAATCATTCGTCTATTGAATTGTTGACATAGTTATTTTCAGATTACTGGCCTCCCACCCTTCAGTGACCTTCTTAGTGATAAAACAGAGTTACCTGCCAAAAATGAACGAAAACCGTTGCAAAATGAATGTTCGGGGGCCAAAACACGCAGTTCGGGGTCCCGAAAATGGGCT